CCTATTAATTTCTCAATTGAGTTAAATTTCTTATATATTAAATATTAAATAATATAAATAATTATTATTTTATATATGTAATATGATATTTAATATTATATTAAAAAAAGAAAATAAAAGGTTATTTAAAATTAAAATATATTTTATTTTTTTTCGAAAAAATAAAAGTTCTAACCTACATGGATAAAAGCACAAATAACTATTGCTATTACCTAAAACTTACACATAGAACTAATAAGCACAAAAAATTAACAAGTATTGAACAATTCAGTTCGTTTGCATCGATAAGTACAATTTTAAAAGTTTTATATTTTCTTATTAATTATATCATTTTTATTTATTACTTTTTTTCATATTTATTAGTAAGTATGACAAGTTAATTATATTTTTTATAATATTTAGTAAATTTTATATTTTGTACTTTATATTGTTCTTTCATTATTTTATATTTTTAATAATTTTATATCGTTAACTTTATTGGCCTTGTGACCAAAATTGGAAAAAATAATCAAACAAACACAAATAACGTTTTTTGTGGGATAAAAATTCAATTCAATAAATATAAGGTGCAATTTCTAAATATAAGATTTTATTTTTCTTAAATAACGAAGTGGCTAAATGAATTGATCCACTTTTCTAGTTTGTTAGAATATGTATATATATTTGCTATACCAATGAATATTATTCATTGCGATTTTCAGTGGAATGTCTGACCGTTGTATTTATTATTGCAACATAGCAATTTTTTGTGTATTATTTCTTAAACATTAAAACTTTCATGTAGTAGTTTTTGTTATTAATTAAAGTAATTATGATTTTACATTAAAATTATATTAGAAATAAGGATGTTTTTCAAAACATCAATTATATATCTTTTCAAAGTTTTGTTGTCTGGGTTGTTTTTTGGAGATTTGAAAGAAAACAGTTTGACATATATGTAAAAGAAGCAAATTCGTGAGGAATAATGATATGAGAATATTGAGGCTGATTTTTAGGAGATCTAGAATGTTTTGTTCGTGTATCTATATTTATTTAACTAAATATTAGTTATTATTGATATACTTTTCTAGTTTGTTAGAATATGTATATTTATTTGCTATACCAATGAATATTATTCATTGCGATTTTCAGTGAAATGTATGACCGTTATATTTATTATTGCAATATAGCAATTTTTTGTTTATTCTTTCTTAAACATTAAAACTTTCATGTAGTAGTTTTAGTTATTAATTAAAGTAATTACGATTTTACATTAAAATAATATTAAAAATAAGAATGTTTTTCAAAACATCAATTATATATCTTTTCAAAGTTTTGTTGTCTGGGTTGATTTTTTGGAGATATGAAAAAAAAAAACAGTTTGACAAATATGTGAAAGAAGCAAATTCGTGGTAGTTTTTGTTATTAATTAAAGTAATTACGATTTTACATTAAAATAATATTAAAAATAAGAATGTTTTTCAAAACATCAATTATATATCTTTTCAAAGTTTTGTTGTCTGAGTTGATTTTTGGAGATATGAAAATAACAGTTTGACAAATATGTGAAAGAAGCAAATTCGTGAGGAATAATGGTATGAGAATATTGAGGCTGATTTTTGGGACACTAATTTGCCATTAAAAATAACTCAAAGTAAGTGTTTTTTAAGTAGTTCATTTGTTAATTAAAAATATATGATTACGATTTTACATTAAAATTATATTAAAATAAAGACGTTTTTCAAAACATCAACTAATCATTTCATAGCTTTGTTGGGTTGATTTTTGGGAGATATGAAAGAAAATAGTTCGACAGATATGTGAAAGAAGCAAATTGGTGATGAATAGTGGTATGAGAATGTTGAGGTTGATTTTTAGGGGAGCTGAAATATTTTGTTCATGTATCTATATTTAATTAGTTAAATATTAGTTATTAATTAAAAATATAAGATGATTATTGGTGTAGTATTAATTTGCCATTTAAAGTAAGGATTTTTTAGGTAGTTTATTTGTTAATTAAAAATATAAAATAAGATGGGTATTATTGTAGTACTAATTTGCCATTAAAAATATGTCAGAATAAGGGTTTTTTAGGCAGATCATTATTTTTCTCTGTGTATTCATTTTATTTTATTTTATTTTATTTTATTATTTTCTTATTCTTTGTTAGATTAAATTTTATAATTCAATTCCCCTCTTTTATCGCTTTTTATAATTTCAATTAATACAGAAAATTCACGATTTGATTCACACTTCTAGTAGGATTGACCCTTGTGGAGGATAGTCCATGAAAAATATAAATATAAATATTTATTCATTATATAAGATTTGTTCTTGGGACGCGTTTTGTTATCACTATCAAATTTATAAATTTAAGATCTTTCACAACTTTATTTATTAATAATTTATTAATAATCATTAGCTCTAATTTTAACTTTATATATTAATAAGCTTCAACTATAATTTTATATCTTTCAAAACTTTATTTATTAATAATTTATTAATAAGCATCAACTATGTTGACTGTTGATACGAATAATTCATAGGCTCTCGAATATGTTGACTTTTAATCTCAAAATGGTTGAACATTTGCAAAAGAGAATCTCCTATCCTTATTACTATGATCTCCATTTCTCAAAATGTAAATGATATACTTTGTAAATTCTAAATAAAAAGTTTATTTTGTTAAAATAATATGCAAACTAAAGTATTGAAAGATAATTAAAAATTTACCCAATCAAATCTTCTATTAGAAATATTTGATGAAAAAAAATTTAATGTATGAATATAGTGGATAATATAATTTTTTATATAACTTGAGTATTTTAATAATAATTATTACAGTACAATTAAAGAAAAAAAAAAAGAAGTAGACAATATAAATCTTATATACCATATATATTAATCTTATATATGTTTCATGCAAAAAAAAAATACAATTTATAGGTCAATTTTATCATTTTGTAGAAAGTTATTTAATTATGTAGTAAATATCATAATATTAGTAGCAATATTAAGTTTTATTTATTGTTCTATTAGCAACTATATATATATATATATAAGAGATCATATGAGAATGGTAGATAGTGAAAGAAATAAGAATGATCATGGACCATTGGATCCAACTTATCAATGGTCATGATATTGCTTACTATTTATCAGAATAACAAAAAATCCATTAAATCACTTTCTTAAACATAATTGTTACAGTTTTTACCTAATATTATGATATTTACTACATAATTAAATCACTTTCTAAAAAATAATAAAATTGACTTTTAACGTTTTTAGGGGAGAAACCTATGTACGTTTTATTAATTAAGTTTTATTTATTGCTTGCCAGCAAATTATTTATATATATATATATATATATAGAGAGAGAGAGAGAGAGATTTATTATTACAAATTGCATTTAATTTACGTATAGATTATTAATTCAAAAAAAAATTACATCTAATATTTTAAACTAATGATTGTTAAGTCTAAAATTTAATTATTAACAACAATTCTATCATATACATTTATATTATAAATTAAGCTAATATAATCTTCTATTATACAAAATCGTAAAAAAAAGCCCTCGGTGTGTACACTTCTCGTAAAAACATTTTTTGACAAGATCCTGATGAGCGAAAACTCACAAATAGCACTTAGAGAGACTGATAAACATATATTTTTAATATATATGCATACTTTCATGCAAAAATAACATATTTTTTTAAAACAGTAAAAAAAAAGTACAATATATCCCAATATATATAAATATACATGTTTGTTAAAAAAGAATGAATTACACAACTAGCACCATTTTGTTTAGCTATGAATTACACAATCTATATTATAATCAACAATTTTAAAAGGCTTGAAAGTGAATAGGGGCACACTTTGAAAAGTAAGGAAATGAAGCAAACAGACATACATAGACGTATTTGGTGGACTTAAATCAACAAACAATCATATTCAGAATCGTTGGTTTTCGACAAAGGATAATTTAGTTCACTGTTAGGGAGAGTACTGAGTGTTGAATGTCAGGGAGAGTACTGATCACTCGTCACAAGGGGAAATAATTTCTATAAATATAATAAATGAAAACATACACGGTAAACACAAAACAATACATATCAATAAGAAAAAAAAAATCATAGAGAGAAAGAAAATACATATCCGTGTATCAACCAATCTTGATTCCATAGTCGGAGAGAAAGAAAGAGAGAGAAGAGAGAGAGAGAGGGACTTTCTCTTAAATCATAGAAATGGCTTCCATATTTCTAACTACCATAGTTTGTGTCATGTTGTGCATTAGTGCACGGGCATCATCTGAAAGCAGTTTGCAAACCTATATCATTCATGTCGAAGAGCCCAACGCCGATCTACTCGACGACTTACCGACCTACTACGAATCATTCCTCCCTGCGGCAGACACATTGAGCTCGGAGGCCCCACGACCGCGTATCATTTACTCCTATTGCCACGTCCTCATGGGCTTTGCCGCCAGGCTGTCTCAAAACAATGTCGAAGCAATTAAAGAGATGGACGGTTTCATATCTGCGTGGCCGGACAAAAACCTATCCCTCCAGACCACTTATTCTCCTGAATTCCTTGGCCTGAGTATCCCAAACACGGGCCTGTGGGATCGGGTCGGTTATGGCAAAGGAATCATCATTGGAGTGCTCGACTCCGGGATAAAGCCTGACCACCCCTCGTTCGACGACAATGGAATGCTTCCCCCACCTCCCAATTGGAGGGGAAAGTGCGAGTTCCAGTGCCCCTACAGCTGCAACAATAAGATCATCGGCGCACGTGATTTCAGTGTACTAGACACAAATGAAACCCGCAGCCCACTTGACATGGCTGGCCACGGCACTCACACCGCCAGCACGGCAGCCGGCAACTTTGTGGAGGGTGCAAACTTTTTCGGCAACGCGGCCGGCACAGCCGCCGGCACTGCTCCACATTCCCACCTGGCCATATACAAAGTGTGTGGCGCACACGGTTGCTCGGCCACCGGCATTATTGCTGCCATGGACGCTGCTGTTGAGGAAGGAGTGGACGTCCTCTCCATTTCTCTTAGCCCTCAACAACCACTTAAACTCTACAATGACCTAATGGCGATAACTTCTTTTAGAGCGATGGAGCATGGTATCGTTGTCAGCTTCTCGGCGGGAAACAATGGCCCTGAATACTATAGTGTAGTGAATGGGGCACCCTGGGCTCTCACTGTTGGCGCGAGTACTATGGACAGGCAGTTGAGGGCAACTGTGGTGTTGCGAAACAGACCGAGCCAGTTCTTCAAAGGCCAGGCGGCTTACCAGCCAAAGGGTTTCGCGCAGGATTTTCTGCCGCTTGTTTATGTCCTAGACTGCACAAGTGATGATTCATTGAATAGAAGCAAGGTCACAGGAAAGATAGTCGTGTGTGACTATAAAAGTGATGACACTAAAGCTTCATATGCGGTTAAAAGAAGTGGCGGTGCTGCCATGATCCTGGTTAATGTGAAGAAGGTTGAGAATACTACATTCGCGGTAGCTAACTCACTCCCATCTGCAAACATCGGTTATGCGGATGGTCTCGAGGTTAAAAAATATATAAACTTAACGGCGGAACCCAAGGCCAAGATATTTTTCCAGGGAACAGTGTTTGGAGACGATGGTGCACCAATGGTTGCTGCCTTTTCTTCCAGAGGACCCAACACTGCAAGTCTTGGGATTTTGAAGCCGGATATTTTAGGCCCAGGTGTAAATATCCTGGCAGCGTGGCCGATCTCACGCGAAAACAAAACAAATGTGAAATCCACATTCAATATGATTTCTGGTACCTCTCAGGCATGCCCACACCTCAGTGGAGTGGCAGCGCTGCTCAAGAGCACACATCCTGATTGGTCACCCACTGCAATCAAGTCGGCCATCATAACCACAGCGGACGTTCTGAATCGTGCAGGGAAGCCCATCGAGGATGCAAATTCTTACGAAGCCGACATCTTTGCAACTGGTTCAGGCCAAGTGAACCCACAGGCGGCAAATGATCCAGGGCTCGTGTACGACATCAAATCCAAAGATTACATCCCTTACTTGTGCGGTTTGAACTACACAAACGCACAAGTCCGTATGTTTTGGAAGCACAACAAGGTGGATTGCTCGAGGGTGAGAAGCATACCTGAAGCCCAGCTAAACTATCCGTCCTTTGTCCTTAATTTCATGGGTGGTGAGCCGGTTTCTCAAAACTATACTAGGAAGGTAACAAATGTCGGCTTCCCTAAATCAACTTACAGAGTGGTTGTTGGCCGCCCAGTTGGCATCAAAGTTGTTGTCGAGCCCGAAACGCTCCATTTCACAAGGTTGAACCAGACAAGGCAGTATCAGGTGACGTTTGAACGACTGGCAACCGCACCCAACAAGTCATTTGTTCAAGGTTTTCTAATATGGTCTTATTCTAAGTACACTGTTAGGAGCCCTATTGCAGCTATACTGCAACGGCGGCAATCATGGAACTGAGCTGCAGATAGATGTACTACTACCAAATAAATAATTAAACTAAGCGCAATAATGGGAATAAAATTATAATTATGCTGAATAACTGGGAAAAGAAAGTTGCCAAAATATTTTGCAAATATGACATTAATTCCTAGTTGAACCGTACTGGCTGGAATCAACGAACAATTACTCTGGCCGACTTCAGTATACGTGCGTGCTATGCATTTGGTGGTGAATATTTTTTGTCGATTAAATTTGGTATCATAAATTAATTAATGTACTAAACATATCATTGTAGGAAACAAAATGAACTCTTAACGTGTTTTTTTTTCCAAAAATAATATAATGGTTTCCTAATATAAAATGAATCAAATAACATATTATAAACCCAACAAAAAGATATGAGAAATGAGTTTCTAATGAAAAATAAAACACTAAATAACTTAATAAGGACATAATGTGTGTGTGCGCGCGCGTGTGTATATATATATATAATATCCAGGGCCGACTCTTTGGGGAGGCAACCTAGGCCCATGCCTAGGGCCTCCATATATTTGGGGCCCTAAATAACTAAAGAATGATCTAATGTATATTATAGTTGCATGAGTTCTTTTATTTATTTATGTTAAATTCAAGAGTGATTTTCTTTCATTTTAGTTTTGACATTCTCATAAGAAACATTCATACTCTCGGTGGAGCTTAACACATCAATAGCATTACAAAATTTATCTTAATTAATTAAGCAAAACGTCTGTTTTATTCAACACTTAGAAATATTTTAGCCAAATATATAGTCAAACTTCATGATTGTATGATTATTATAAGGTATTTCTAGTAATTGTTCATAAATATCTCTGTGAAATAACCAACTGTGTCATTAAAATTCTTGATATTTTTTTAGTCATTGTATAAACTGCTACATTACTCTCTCTCTCTCTCTCTCTCCATGTAGACAAATTGGTACCTACCCTATGAGGTGGGGATGAATTTTATCTCAAAACAAAAGTTGACTTTTCAAAATCATGTACTTTTTCGGAGACCTAAATTAATTTTTGAAATCATCATATATTATATGAAAGTATGTACTCTAAAGTAATTGTGCTTATGATCGAGCACAATACTCAATTAAGATTGTAAATATTCCTATAAAAAATTGATAACTTATTCAAACTTTCAAAAGTATTTTGATCAGAATCAGACATTTCATTTTCAGTGTTATCTATTTGGAAGATAGACGTACTACATATAACCTATTATATGCAAATCATTGAACAGTTTGGTTGTTGCAATGATTTTAGAGTTGTTTATCATAATATCTTTCTCATTCGTTAGGATTTGCAATATTTATGTGTCTAACTTATTTAATGCATTTATTGTCCAACTTATTGCACCATACATAATGCTTCGAAAATTCAAGATAAATATCATTTCTTGATTCTTCAATAATAATAAAACAGAATTTATATTGAGACAATATTGAATATCATTTTCAAAGTATTTCAGATGAGAAAAATTTGAATTCTATAATACTATAATATTCTTAGTCACTGTGAACTTTATTATTATGATATCATATTGAAGTTTTCTTCTATATTATGATAATATGGAATCATTATTTATGAGAATCAATTTCTTATATATAACATATATTTAAATGTTAGCAACAAAAAAGTAGTAATTTTAAAAGATTTTTTGTTTCTTGAAAGTAGTAATTTTAAAAGTAGTAATTCATACTTTTCTAAAAAAATTCGGACTTTTTCTTTTTCCTATTGCATTATAGTTGCTATATTTGTTTTTTATTTTATTCACAAATAATATTTTATTTGTTGAAAGAATTAGAGCACATTTATATGCATTTTTTTTTTTTTACATGTAATAATATATTTGATAAAAATGTACTTTTATATTGTTTGTAAGATTAAAAAGTTTC